CCCGGCAGTGGGCACTATATCACCCCCACCACCAAAAAACGACGAATAATGAAACGCCAGAATGGCACTGCAGCCACAATGGCTGATAAGCCCACCAATCCTCGCAGTCACCACTTTGAGGGAAGGGTCAGGGCGGGAGATCAAAGGACCTCCGCTTCCCTGAGCCACAATGGCTATGGAAGGGAGGTGTGATATTGATTCATATAAGAGCTTTGGACCCTACTCCAACCAGCCATGCTGCAAAGCAACTGCATATGAATGCAAATCACTCTAAGCTCCTGGCTGCAGTGCACCGGCTCGTCTTCATTTTCTCTCTGCACTGCAAGCTCCGTACGTCGAGGGCCGATAGTACGTTGGCAGAACAGGGTGCCTTCTTTGAAAGCACCATCGAACGGCCCCGGCAGTGGGCACTATATCACCCCAACGCATCATCTGCCCAACGTAAAAGGGACTCCGACGCCTGGAGGAGCGACATATCACGGAAGAGGTGCCAAGGAAGGCATGGCGTCTCAGCCAGCTGCCATGCTTGGGCCTTGGTCCATGCATCGCTGCACCCTGCTCTGCTCAATCCATCGGATACATTGGACTCGCTGTCCACCCATTCGATCCAGACACGGGCGCCAAGGGTCGCCCACAGAAGGTGTGTGACCGCCACCAAACTGGACATGTCATCAACCGAACTCGATCCACGGACCAAACTAGCGCAAACCGACTGATTATCTATGAACCAAATAATCTCTGCGCCTGCCAGCTTGCGCCTGAACTGCAGCGTAGCTAAAGCCACAACCAAAGCCTCAAGCGGTGCTATCTGCGTAGCACGCTCTGCAAAACTGTCGAGGACAGCCGTCGGAACCCAAGCAGCTCGACCCTCAGTAGGCTCATCTGGGGCAAAGATGACGGAACCCAAACCGGGACTAGACATCTCTGCAGGCTCAAAACTGGCATCTGTATAAACTACACTCGGGGCGACAGGTGCAGAGTGCAGGGGAACAATCCTAGGGGGAACAACCTTAACCAAAGCCTGGATGTACCGCAAGGCCGCCAAGAGAGGCTCTGTAAGCTCGCATTGGCCAACGTCATACTGCCTATCACTTAACGGCCCTTGGCCTCCACGGCCACACCGGCCGAACATGGATGAAGCAGCCCAAACCATCCTCCCGCGAAGCTTCGATGCCTCACTCGGTGAGCACGAGCCAGCGTCGATCATCCGCTGAACATCAGCACAGATGGTCTCCCTCAGACCTGGTTTGATGTCAACCAACATAGCTCTATCGGACAAGGCCCTGGATAGATTCAACAGCACTCCGAGGAAGAGGCGCTGTGTAGCCATGGGTTGTTGTTTGAGTGCATCCAAACGAACGCCCAAACACTGATAGACAGTGTTGACAGCTTCCTGCGCTGAGCCGTGCGCAGAGGCCATGTCTAACACACCGGAATCGTCAAAAAAGTGCGTCACGCAGGCCCCTGCCATCCTGCGCAAGCAAGCAGTGCCTAGACACGGAACTCGATTAAAATTCAAGACCGCGCTGGCCAAACCGAACGGATGTGCCCGCAAAATGGCGTAACGGACCTCCCGAACATCTGGATCCCAAAAGGCTAAGACCAAGCCTGCAGCTTCGGATGGCACGTTTGGGAGTTGTCGGTAGGCCGAAGACATATCCTCCGACCCGAACACAGGCTGGGCCCAATCCAAAGAATCATCGCCGGAACGTGCAAGGAGCTCAATGAAAAATTTTAACGCCGCAGAAACAAAGTCTGGGGAACTTGTGAAAATTGTTTCAGTGGCTACTGCACAGCCATTGTGCCCGCCGCTCCTGCCGTCATCAATCGGACGAAGCTTCCCACACGATTGCTGGTGCATGAATCTCCTCATTGGCGCCCATGCAAAATGTCCAAAACGAGTGTGAAGCTCAGCTTCGGAGAATGGCCCTTCCGCTAAGCCCTCCTGCACCTCCTGCAAAACGAATGCTTTGACTTCTCTGGCGAACTCAGACTGGGGCAAAGTCGCATGAAGTTTAGCACACATCTTTGCAGCGTGCTCTCCCGTGAGCGCAGCCAAGCCCACAACAGGAGGGAAGGTAGGGGTAATTTCCCTGAAGAGTGACGGCGCCTCAATGAAGCCCAGAAGCCTGAACCCCCGAACGAACCTAAGCCCAAGAGTAACATCCGGCCACCGCATGAGGACTGCAAGAGCTGCCATCGTAGCCGGCTTCTTATCAGCAGCAACAGCGTGCACAGACGGATGCATACACGCCACTAATGCTGCATTAAAGCTGGCTAAGGCCTTGTCAAGACAACACAAAGCTCTCAACTGCTTGCGCCTCCATGTCCGAATAAAGGGACCTAAAGCCACCATCGCCCGCACTGAGAACCGGGCATCGTCGTCCAGCACGGATGAAGTCTGGAATGGCGACTGCAAGGATGTACTCAAGAAAGGATGCGTATCTTTTCCGATGGCCTGCGGTATCAGTGGGGCGATCGCGTGACGATGTAGCTTGGCTCCTTTCTGGACTCCCAAAGCTGCTGCTGACTCCCCTGCCGCCTTCTGCTGAGCCCACTCTGGTCCCATCTCGGCAACAGGAAGCTTCCTAAGGAGGCGGTCCACGGTATAGACCTGAAGCCTCCTAACAGCTCTCTCGACATCAGCTGACAAGGACATGGGAGGAGGGGTCTCAATCACCTCCGCAAAGAGCTCCTGCAAGCGGATTTGCATGTCAGATGCCGACATCAACCCCGGGAAATTATCGACCAACCCCGGTTGCCACACTGTGTCGTGGCACTGTGCGCGCAATCTCTCTTCCATGGCCCCATACTGTGCAACAGGGATGGCGCAGGCTTGCGGCACAAGCTGAAACAAGACAATGAGGGCCACCATGATCGAGGGGACGTGAAAGGAGTTTCCCACCGCGGACGCCTGGCGCCTCTCAGACTCCTGAGGCTTTGCATTCAAGCAGAAATCCAGCGATGAAAGCAGTGAGGACGGAATGCACATCATGGCTGCTCTCTCACTCGCCAGTGGCTGCCGCCACTGATCCCCCTTCCAGAGGAGCGCGGATGATGCATAAGTATGCACCGGGTATCGCCGGTCATCCTGATAAAACCTGCGGGCTGCTGCATCATCGACCTTAGCATCTGCGTCAATCTGATGAGGAAAAGCTTGCGTGAATGTTGGGAACGGCGCCGCCTTCAGGCCTTTTGCAATCTCCTCGGAAGGCTCAAAGGCAGGGGCAAAGCCATCCCGGAAGTACACCTTCGCAGGCAGCGGTTTCTTCCCTGTCCACACAAGGTGCGTATCCTCACCTCGATTCAATCGCGACATGCCCTGCGGGAGCTTAGGGTCAGGCACAGATGCCATGGAAGTACTCTCGACACACCCCCAAAAGCACCTAGACCTACGGCACCAACCAAAACTACCAGCATGGACATGCAAAGGAGGCCCATGCATCACTGCAGCAACGGCCTCACGGAATGCGTGGGGTGTACCAGCCACGTTCTCGAGAAGCTGGAACACTGGTATACTCAGATTCAGCTCTCGAACGATGTCTTGACACTGCCGCGCAACATGAGGGATACACTCGAACAATTGCGTACGCTGACTGTCCAAGCCAGCTCGGCACCTGTTCAGTGGACTGACATCTTGGCACGGTGAGCCCCCTGCCACGAGGATTGCAGTATAGCCCCCTTCGAGTAGCAGTGACCGCAGCATGGCAACATCAAAGGCCGCGGCATCTTGCTGAAATAAAACATTACCGAAGCACATGCTCACAGCCTGGGTCAAGACAGCGTCGGCTTCAACTGCTATGGCAGAAAAGACGACACCCATGCACATGAGGGCCACAAGGAGCGCACCTATGCCATCAAACAGTGAAACCACTAATATCGGGCCCTCCCATGGGAGCTTCCAAGGAATCTGCGGCAACGGGGAATCCCCAGTGTACACAACGTACTTCAAGCCCATATCCCTGAGCCAAGGACGGAAGGCCCAGTCCGGCCTAGGAGCAAAGGCGGCTTTGGGCGCCCAAGCCCGAACCGTACGCCATGCCACCGGAATCTCATTGGTACCTTGGGTATGGCATGAATGCTGAAGTCGCACTGAACGGGTTCCCCGACCCAATTTCCTTGCCCCTGGCCACAGATGCAACTGCACAGGCGACATAACGGGTGGCTGGCAAACCGAACCACACCCGCTAACCACCCGCCTAGTCACCCCCGAACCACTACAGAACGCAGGCGTAGCAAGCACAGTCTGATCCCCAGATGCAGACTCGCACTGAACCACCCTAAGAGGCACATGGTCCACTGGTAACGAGGCCTCGCCTGGCACATAATCCTGATCTGTGACCAGGCGGCCCCCCTGTCACTTGCGAAAGTGTGGGCATGACATGCGGGTGTGCTTTGTAGAACCACAGACCTCACCGTTGACGAGGACATCGCACCTGTGCTCTTTAGTGCAAGACGGGTCTGAACATCCACGCTGATCATTCTTGCGCTTGCAAATCTCTCGCCCCTGGTAATGCGAACCCGTCTTGAGCTTCTTACTCGGCGGGGAGGTCGACTGCTGTCCATCCTCTGGAGGCGCCCGCTTATGCAGAGGGACCGGCGGGGGTGTAACCGACCACTGAACCTCCTGCTCGGACATGGCCCTGGCCAGCGACTCCCCTTGGCTCCAACCTTGCCTCATCAACTCCACCATGCGGCCCCTCGTAGATTCATCTCGCTCTCTAACCCATGACAAAGGTGCCTCCCACTGCATCGCCATCCGGAGGACAAAGTCTGCATAGTCCAGTTGAACCTGAAATGGACACATCTTGACCGACTTGGCTGGATCAGCTTGGCTCGGAACCTCAGTAGACCCTGCAATCGAGTAGGCATTCCCGAGCACACGTAGGGCGTGGTAGTAGTCGAAGACATTACGCAATGGGGCTGATTCTTGCTCATCAACCTTGACGGTAACATTGCCACCCAATGAAATTCGACGTTCGGATGATGGCTTGTGGGACTGGAAGAGGCTGCGCACCTTCGTCAAAGGGATGACTGTAGGCAAATTGCGGGTGAGCTCACGGTAAACACGCGCCAAGACCGTGTCTGAGGGCGCCAGGTGCACAGATACTTGGTGGCCATAGCATCTGCTGAAACGCGCCATGAGGTCCTCCTGGACACCGGACTCCAGAGTCTCATCGAGCTCGTCCGAAGGTGTAGCTCCCCGCCTGGCCTTATCTTCCAGCTTAAGCAGCTCTGCTTTAGCACGCCTCCAGGCCGCCCTGAGACGAGCCAATTCAATCGGGACATCCTTGGCCGTCGGGACCTGATCGGTGACCAATGTTTTCAACTCGGTCTCGTAAGCAGCAACTGAAACCACGCACACCAAGTCCTCGAGCGAAGCCAAACGCAAAGTCTCGAGGAGGTACTTGTTCACGTCGTCGGAGGTTTTAGCCGCCTGCAAGACGCTCCGCAAGGCCTCCATGGTCTACACACCACCTGTACTGCTGACTGCCCCCCCCACCCCAGCCGCAATGGCTACAAGAATGGAAATCACGGAAGCAGCTGCAAACCACAAAACACCGCAGAGCAGACCGGACAGGCACAATACCCGCAGTCTTTATACGCTCAGAACGGGAAGGCATCCAGGCCCTGCCTTGGTGGCACACTCTATAATAGAAAGCCCTATGGCACACCACCCAGGTGGGCCAAAGAAAGGGCTGCGAAGCAACCCGTCTAGCGACCCTCGCCTGAGGAAGAGCTTCCTGCTCTATGACAAATTTTGCATTCATGGCTCCTGTGTGGTCGACGCTTCCACGGCTTCTCCCGGCGTCCGCAGGATCTGCCACAACCTAATGAACAAGGAAGCTTACAGCGTCTTGTGCGCCTCCTAGGCGGGTAGACCTCGGCGTCAGGAGGGGGCGGGGGAAATGATGGCATCTGAGATGACGGACTCGGCTCGTGGCGCTCATACACAGCTTCTTGCACTAAGTCCTCATACGTAGATGCTGTAGCGATAGCCCCTGGCGCCCCACCGACCGCCTGCTCGCCCTGCTCCTCACATGTGAGCAACGCCTGAAGCAACCGCCGTCGTGCATCAGCAGGAAGGGCCTGGCACACTGACGCCAGCACAGGCGCTGGCAATGTCGCTATCTCCGACAGCACATGATGCGGCGGCTTGTCATAAGCCCCAGGACTCATCGCCCCGGCCATGGTCACGAAACTAGGCGCAGCTGGAGAAAACCGAAATGCCTATGCAAACAAACAACATATATACATCAACGGCAGCCTCCACAACCGACGTAGCCGAAATGCACAGGCATGCTAGGTCCAATTTTAATGCAACGACCAAAGCGTCACTCGCTCAAGCGGGCCACGAACTCAGACCTCGGGGCTCTCCTCATCAGGACGCCTGCCATGACTAGCTGAAGATCTCTGGTGCCCATTGGAGAGAGACGCATAGAACATGACGTTGGGCTCCCCCAGGTTCGGCTGATCTTCATAGCGTCGCACCGCCATTCGGAGAACGGCTAACCAAGGCACCGGCAGCATGAGCAACACCCGATAGACGGCATCCACATGATCGTCGAAAGAGGCATTAACAGCCCCCATCGCCCCTATGGAACCCCGATGTCAGGCAGCAAAAGGACTGCGGAATCACAACAACCTTGGTAACCCGACCCACCGGGCAAATGCACAAAGATAGGGCTGTCTTTTCCTGCATCCAGGCTCCAGGCACTAGCTCGAAGCAGCCCTAAAGCCATCAAGCAAATCGTGCAAGGACAGCCGGAGGCGCTCTAGCCATGCACTTCTTACAGAAACAGCGATCCTCACCTATGTCAGTGCCATACCCCCGCTCGAAATGAGCAGAATCAAAGGGGATATCACGGCACCAAGGCACCATCCTACCTTCAGATTGCCTCTGCATCAAGTGCACGGAACCTCTCGCATGCTGCGCAAACCAAGTGACTACCGGAGTAGCCTCAGCTGATGCATCTGAACTGCTAAGCGAAGACGCTGAGCTCGAAGATGAATCACCATCACTATCGGCCGCTTCACTCCCACTCTCAGACGCATGCTTGGGAATAACATCGTCAGCAGCGCGCCAAGCTGAGGAGTGCAACGCCTTCTCCACCTTCGACGAAGACGGCCGCAGTCGAGTGACCTCAGACCACGTAACAACCGCAGGCATGACTCTCTGCCTCACAATGTCCAGGCTCACAAGCATGCGAAGCTTAGTCATGCCCGCCGTGATAGCTTTCTCATCGGAATACCGAATAGGCATCGATGAACCCGCCTTTTGAGCTGTAACTCGATCTGCCGCAGCTTCGACCCAATTACCAACAGCCAGCCGAGCCTCATACGGCGCATCCAGGCAATCAGCAAGCGTCGGCATAAACCGCCGGAAAGAGTAACTGGACAGCTGTTCTAAATCCTCGTCCTGGACCCCGATCGCACTCAGCAAGCTTCTTGCTAAGTCACAAAACTTAGCGCGGCTCATTTTACGTGCCAGCTTAGGAGTACCAGGCTCCAGCCGCCCAGACTTGGGCAGCTGCAAATCTGGGATAATAAAATCCACATCGGGCTTTGCAACAACCAGCTCCCCATACTCCAAAAGTAAGGTCGGCGCAATGCAGACATGGGGTGCCGGAACGCACCAAACAAATGGCTGTTGAACACCTTGTTGTCTGCGCTTACCTTTCTTGCACAAAGCAGACAGCAGCGAATTCTCACAACGCAGCTGCACCGATCTCTGCAAGTGTGCAAATCGCAAACACGCTGTGCCCAATAGCAGCGCCCAAGCAATAAAGGCCTTAACTGTCCCCGTGCTAGACTCCAGCCGCTGACACAGACAGATGAACACAGCCAAAGCAATTGGTGTACGCTGTTTCGCTGCATGGCCTGTCGGCGGGTACTTGTACATGGCCACCAGAGGGTCCTGAACAGGCAAAGGAATACCCATATGATCCACCCACCACTTCAAGCCGTGGAAAACATTGACCGAAGCAGTAGGTCCACCCCTAGCAACCTGCTGCAAGAAGGCTGCTAAAGACATCGCTGAAGGCATCCAATACGGCGTATCCACTGGCAGGTGGCACTCAGCATAACGGATCCATCTCTTAAGCGTTGACAGCAGAGCAGCAAGTCTAGCATCCGAGACCTTGTCCAGCAACCGCACAAACAAAGGTAAAATCTCAGACCTGGACCGCAGCTCAGTTGGCGAAAACTTCAGGTTAGAAGACCCTGAAGCCACAACCACATCCAAAATAAGCTGTACTTGCTGTGATCTCTGGGATTCCACATGTATGGGCTGCGCACTGGCCACGGGCTGCGGGCCCCTAAGTCGGCAGGCCTTGCTCTGAAGCAATGCAGGTGGCAAACACCTCTTCTTAGGGCGGGCTGCAAATGGCACTGAAACAGCAGGCCTCGGAGGGAACTGTAATGGCTGCCGGTCGCTGTCGCGCTGGAAGCACTGATTGGCCACAACCCACGCACGAACTATAAGCCCAGCAAAGTCCTCAGGATAAGCCTGCAAAATCTCTTCCTCGGAAGTCCAAAAGCAAGCCAAATCAGCATCTGTCTGAATACCTGCAGCCAAAACTGCATCACCAGCCTCTCGAGAAAGGACTGACTGAACTGCAGGAGACAGAGCCATGGCGAGATCAAAGGACCTCCGCTTCCCTGAGCCACAATGGCTATGGAAGGGAGGTGTGATATTGATTCATATAAGAGCTTTGGACCCTACTCCAACCAGCCATGCTGCAAAGCAACTGCATACTTGAGTGTCCCACTCTCTGGCGGCGAGCTCGCATCTGCCGGCTCGTGAGAACCTGGGAGCTGTCCTCAAACGAAGCATAACTGGCACAACCGGCATCCATGCGTCAAAAATACTCCCTGGCAGGTGGCCTGGTTCATTGGAAGATTTACCTCTCCCTGTCTTGCTTTTGCCCTTCCCCTGGCGACGTCGAATGAGGACTGGAAACGGCTTCACGGCCCATATCATGAAGATCCCGTGCTTGGGGAAAATCCCAGAAAGTCCTAGACTCTGACCAGCGAGTGTCCAGGACGCTTAGGTCCACCCGAGCTTCCATAATTCCCTCCCCCACTGCGACACAACAACCACAATGCATTTTGGCCTGGCCTTTCCTGAGCCCTTTCGCTTCTTCGCCTTCGTTCCTGACAGGCTGGCCTGTGCAAGCAGGCGGCTGTCTGTTGGCTCCAACAATATAAGCAGGGGACAACCTTGCAAAGGCAGTGTCTCCTCGCAAAGTACTACTCCGAGTGCATCACCAGTTTTTGGGGAGAGTTGTTGGCCAACTTCCCTTGCATGCCTCCAGTCGTGGCCACTGCTCCTGCTGCGCCTGGGTTGCCGAAGCTGCCCTTCCCCTCTCCCGACAACAAGAATCCATGGACAACGGTCATGTTCATTAAAACATACACGTCTATGTCTGTATGGACGCACGGATGCCTGGATATATGCATAGATGGATGGATGCATGGATGGATGGATCTTCATGATGGATCTTCATCTGTGTATACATACATACAGACATACATACACACGTACAAGAATGGGGGGTGGTTGTCATCAAAATGCCTGTTCCCGAAATTCGTCTTACTGCGGCTGTAGTTGAGTGCCGCTTCATCTGACAAAAGGAAAACAGGCTTACAGACACGTGACGGTAAACTCTGGTGTTTGGGGATACACGCGCGTATTCCTAAGAATGGTACTAACGCGCAGACATTTCAGCTGCTGCTGTCGGACGAGCTCTCGGTAGAACCACTACTGCTGCTTGACTGTTAACGGGCGACGCGAATTGCAGCAGGAATCTGACCTGCTCTGGCTGATGACAGGCCCATGAAACGACGTCCACAATTCGAATTTCCGGCGACGTTGACCTCTATGCCCGCTCGCTCGATGCCGGAACCGTGCTGCATGCAGCACTGCATGTAGCAGCTGTCTCGGCCTGATCACTTTTCCGTTCCACGGGCAGGAGCATAGCCAAGGTCTTCAGGGGCAGGTTGCAGTGAGATTCTGGTAGCGCCGAGCTTGCACGGCTCTAGCGGGCTGTGCTGTCTATAAATGCCCAAGAATGACCGGGCTAAAGACTCGACTCGATCGGTTAAAGAAGCAGACCTGCAAGAAAACTCGCAGCGGCTATTGCAGACCGAATGCTGATCTTACATCGCTGGGACGAAAGTTTCGACATACAGCTCTTTGAACATGAACATGTGCCGCAGAGAAGCGGAGAGGCCGGAAGTCCATTTTACATGGCCAGCGTGGCCAGCGTGGCGGAGTAGTCAAATCGTCGGAATAAAAACGTCAGAGTATGTTGTTCGTATTCTATCTGCGAAGAGTTAGCACTAAAAATACGCTAAGGGTTTGGGATGACGAGGCGCCGCTGCAGAATTGCTTGTCCTTGACCATGCGGTTCGAAACATGCCTAGCATCCTGCTAGCGGTTTTCCTAGCTCCAATGTGGGTAATTCGTGGCTCGACTTGCGGCCGCCCCGTAGCGAGGAGCAAAAACGATGCTCCCCAAACGTATGACAATCGATCTGATTTAGCACTCGCTCTCGACGTCGCAGGCGAGATGTAGGGGCAACTTGTGGCGACCAACAAGCTACCGAGATCCTTTCGAGGTCGGCAGATAGTCAAAAGGATGCTAGCTATACATACATACATGCATCGTTTGAATGCATGGGTTGAGAGTATCCCAAAGTCTTCTCTAAACGTGCATCCAGTAAGATATCTCATTTTACAAATGAGCACTCCTTGCTGCTTTTCTCCATCAGGAGACGATGCATCGAGTAAACGGCCGGGATTTCTCTGTGGCCATGCTCAGAGCTTTCCTTTTTGTAGCCCTTGCTGCAACTGTGTTCAAGGGAAAGACGGTTCGGGGCCATGGCCACTGCAATGTTGGCATCGATGCATAGTACACTCAGTGTGAGGCATTCAGTCGAATTTCCAATTCACGCAACTATTGCAAAATACTCGGTTGCAGCAACATACTTTCATGGAGCAAGATGCAACACTGCATATCCTCTAAGACAAGGCAAGAGAGAAAAGCGCGGCTACAACACACTGTAAGAGAAGATACGGAGATGTTTGTGTAGACAGGTACTCATATACACCTATGAAGATATGTGTATGTGCGTGTGTATATGTGCCACATGCATGCAACTGGGCATGTAGTCTGACAAACGCTCAAACACGAGTAGGAAGAACTTGACTACATGTGTGGGATGAACCCCAGCCCCTCCGCTCACGCTTGATTGCACTTGCACTGAGATATGGCAAGCCAATGGAGCCAATCCCTGTCCCTAGCCTGACGCTTCAGGCAGGGCAAGCGCATGCTCGGGAGAGCTACCTCGGCCGTCAAGGCAAAGGCAACTTGTAGCGGCGGCGGCGGTTCATTTGGGAGCTTATTGTAGGAAATGCGACCAACGGGACTCTAATCCGCAGCGACCCTTTGGCCAGAAGGAAGTGTTGCCACGATTGCAGGTCACCCCCAGCCCGACGCCCTAGAGCCCTCTGCTCACACAACCGAGAAGAACGCACATGGCCGCACAGCACCGCTTCGTCTTAATTGAGTTTCTCCATGTTCTCCCCTGCACTGAAATTACGATGCAGCTCAACATGTTATAACATGAAAACGTCGTTTTGAGAGCCATAGCTAGTGAGACAACTTGCCCCGCATTTCAAAGAGATTCACATCGCCACCGCCACCGCCACCATCATCACTACACCTCCCTTTTCGACTCAGGTGCTCGGCCTTGAGCTCTCTCAGGAGGTCTTCCAGTGTCGCGTTGCCGGGCCTGAACATATTCCCAGAAATAATCCCCTGCCGACCAATGGAAGCGCATTTAGAAACACTACTCTATGAGTCAAGAATCAAGAACTAAGAAAAAGTATCTCCTCACCATGTACAGCGCACCGACATGTTCTTGAGCTGCACCACTCGCAAAACGAATGCTTTGGCTTTCGGCAGGGGGGGAGACAGCATCACGAGACCCCGGCAACTTGAGGCAACGCTGATCGCCAGAAGGGAGAATCTGCAGGCAACGTGCAGGCAGGCGAATGTATCCAAAACTTGAAACATCGTTCACTGTATGGGACCCAAAACACCATCACACTGGACCCCAAGCACTTCCCTGTCGTGGTGACTTCGGCTGAGAGTTGGGCTGCTGTGACTTCACAGCTCGCCGGCGATTCGCCCTGGCCTGGTTTGATAGTGTAGTTTAGTTGTAGCCGTTCAACGTCGTAGCCGTAGCAGTTGATAGTCGTAGTCGCACTCGTCGTCGTAGATAGTCGTAGCCGTAGTCGTAGTCGCATAAGACTTTGTATTCGTATTATCAACATGCTAAAGTGAGGGCCGCGGGCCTTCATTGTACAGGCAGGTGGCACGCAAATGCTAAAGGTTAACGGGGGCAGACTGAGGTGCCGAGCTCTTCGGGTCAGCAGCTGGGCTTGCCTCCGTTTCAGATGCGACAAGCAAAGGATAAACCAGCCAAAAATCTTTGCACCTGGCCTCCTGCAGTTGGCTTCTGCTCTCTGTGTCCTTCGTTGGGACATTCCCGGAGCCCAGCTCAGCCTGGGAACAGGACACAGGCGAGACCCAAAATTCCCCTGCATCAATGATCTGTTGCAGCCCGGCAGCTTTAGAGCTAACGTCATTCGACTCGACGTTGTTGCACTCAACCACGTCATTGGACTCGACAAGGTTGTCGTCAGCAGCCTCGGATGTGAGCATGAGCAGGTCACAAGTCAGAGGCAGAGCCCAACTTCCCGCATCTCAGCTCATGCCTGGCGACCTAGGAGCCTGGGACTGACGGGGAGAAACGCGAATCTTTGCTTTCGAGCGGCCACGTTGCAGGCGTTGCTCTCTACAGCTGGGTTGACACCGAGTTTTTTCAACCGGGCCTTTCGAGATAGCATGCACAATCTGCGCCAGCAGATGAAGGCCGTGCGGCCACGTGCGACAACGCTGGAACTCCGTGGCCTCTACATCTTTCAAGGCTCCTCGCAAGCCTTCCACCTGCACAGCCACGGAGCAAGCAACTCTCGCCGGGTCACGGGCTGACAGATGCATCAAAGACCATCAAAGCCCAAGGCCAAGCTACTTGTAATCAAGATTTATCTGGACCAAGCTGAAGAATCGCATCTGTGAGCAAACAAGAACGTCCGGGCCCTTGGAAGGTAACGCAAGCACGTAGAACTGAAAAGAAGGCCGTATGTACCACGTTGTGGCGAAATATCTTCAATGTGCAAGTGTATTCCCCACCTGCTCTTGCATGAAAACCATAAACGACCTGGGCAAGGGCAGAGGTAGCCAACAACAAGGGAAATTATAGTGATTGCAGAGGCAGGAAAGCGAAAACTACAGTAGCTTCACACCATGCATGGGGGTGGCTTCTGGACTTCCACCAAGTGGAATGCCCAAGCATTACAGTTCTGATCGCATCCTCAACATGATGGGAGGGCCCTCTTGACCAGGTGACCAGAGAGTGACTGATGCCCGGGGCTCAGAATACGACATTTGACTGACTGCGCCGAGCTCGAGATGTCTAACAAGTGGTTCGGGCACAAACGAGGACTCCTGCAAAAGCGTCCTGCAAGACAGCCGCGAAACTATCAGGCCAGCAAATGCGACAAAGATTGCACACGTTGCATATTCAGCGCTCTGGGCTTGTCGATTGCTGCACCATACTACGGCAGGATGCTTGTCACAAGTCACAATACCCAGATTGTTGCTCGACCGTGCTCAAGCGAGCCTTCATGGCCAGTGCGTCATCCCCCCCAGCATGCGCCGGCTGAATTCGATGCAGCAACACTCATGTTCAGATGCCGAGGACACCACTGAGGACCTTCCTCGATCAGCTCGAATCCTGCCAAGAGCCGCGAAGCTAAAACCGGTGAGAAGCAGCCAGCTACCTTTTCTGCTTCACTCGAAGTGAGGGCTGCTAGTCCCTAGTCCGACCACTGCTCTAAAAAGGCTGCCTTTCCCTCCTTGCCTGCTCCTCGTGTCATGCCTTTGCTCCCATCTGAGAAACGAGCCGGCAGCGCCTAGCTCTTCCAGGAACTGCTGCGCCTCCTCGTTGGCTCCCAGGTTGTCCCTGAACCTGGCTGGCACTGACTCGAGGGAGCCTCGAACTCGAATCGGCTGGCTGGTCCCTGAGACTCCCGCTCGTCGTCGACTAAGTTCAGGCTGCGGAAGGAAAACTCCTCCGGCTCGTCGCATATTCTCCGCAATACCTGCCGAAGTCGAAAGCGCTGCGCATCATGCTCACGGGTGAGAAACATGTCGAAGCCAACCCCCATGCCCGTCCTTCGCCAGATTGTCCACAACATCTGGATCCTGAGGTGCAAGCTCACCGAGACTTTCGCAGCCTGACTTGACTTGGGAAGGCATGCGTCCGTCCTCCATACGGTCCACTAAGGAGTCCGACGAGCAGATCTCACCTTCGTAGCCGAGGAGAAAGTAGCCTGTGCATCCACGCCAACGTTCCACCTTTCAAAACATCGCAGTGCACGACCAGCCGAGGCACTGGCCAAGTTCTATTTTCCGAACCTGACGTCGAATTTCTCGCCTCAGCCAAGTGGGCTCGGCGAAGTCAGACAGGAAAAAGCCGGCCCTTCTGTAACAAAGCGATTTGGGCACCGAGTGGTGAAAGTTTTCGTTGGAATCCACCCGCTTCCGAAAGACAAGTTGGACGGAAGAGCTGGGTGGTCCGACTCGTAGCCCGGGTTCCTGCCGCGCACCGTGATCTGGACCATTTTCTGAAGTTCCTCAACATGGCTCATGATTGTTCGTATGAACAAGAGCTTGCTTTCGCCAAGTGGTTTGGGCTCGACAGATCTACAAACATGGTCACAACAACTGTTCTGGGGATCTGGCCATGCGAAACGTGCCGAATGGGGGGATGGAAAGTTCCACACCTCTGCCGCACCGTTTTGATCCGAGGCAGCTGGCTCTGCACTTACATGGTCTTCCTCACCCTAATCGCAACACAAAGTGCTCGGTGTAGTCACGAGGCGTTGCTTTCAAGCCTGCTTTGTGTGCCAATGTGACACAAGTAGTGCTAGCACATTCTATCAGAGTTTACCAGTAGGTCCCTAGTATTTTGCAAGTACCACCACGACTAGGGCTGCCACTAAACTACCACTGCCGAAACTACTATTACGACAGTTGCTTTGTGTTTCGCGATTCCTAGACGGGCTGAAACCGCGTCGACACTGCAGCCCCTAGAACCCGTCATCCTCGTGAGCTACGCTTACTTCTCAGCTGCCCGTCCTAAACTCCACGCCACAGTGCTCCTGGCATGCCCGTAGCTAAGACCAGCTCTTCGCTCACGGCGCTGGAATGCCTTTTGCGAGGGACGAGGAAGCTGAAAGCAACATCAGTTTTCGGGTTCCCGTGAGGTTCAGAGGCTAGTAGTTCTGTTTGACGGATGTTAAGGGTTTCGGCGAACCCTCATACAGATCTGCAGGTCTCTGCCTTGAGCGTGTTTCACTCGGACATGGCTGCCTGCTGTGGGTTTCAGTTTCGCCTGCAACATCAGCTAAGGCCGTTGTTGCATTCGACATCTAAATTCGAAACACCCACGGGGTGGAACCTATCCTCGTTCGGACAGAACCAGGATCCAAAACCCATTCGAACCTCCGTATCATGTGCAGAGTCAACCGGGAGTGCCCAAAAAAACAAGTGAGTACCGAAACGGTGTGCCAGTTAAAAGATTTCTCTTCTTTCTTGACTTGCCTATCTCTTTCCAGCGGTTCTTGTCTGTGCTTCAGATTTCCCAGTCCCTCTGTCGGGTTTTCTGCTCTCATTAGAGCGGTTTTCTCTTCGTTCTCAAATGTTCTAGTCCCGTTCAACTGGTTTGCTCGAATCTCTCGTATTTGTCAGATTCTCTTGCCTCTTTTGGCCGGTTTGCTCCGCTCTCGATTCTTGAATCTTGCTTGTCCCGTCTTTTCAAATCCCGCTCCTCCTCTTTCTTGAAATCTGCAAGTCTGCAAGGTCTCTTTCGAGCAGCTTGTCCCTCGCTCTGAAACTCTCTCCTCTCGTTCGGGCTATTCGCTCCCTTTGCTCCCATATCTAGTCTCTTTCGCACGAGCGGCTGGCGCCTTGCAATCGTGTTTGGGTCTCTTCGGAACGTTGCGACTTTCCGACAAATTCTTTAGTCCAGTTGGTGCAGTTTCCTCCTGTGTCTCAAAATCTTCTACGTCTCACATTCTCCTGCATAGTAATCTTTGTTGGGCGGGTTGCTGCTCTTTGTTTAACTTGTCTAGTCTGTTCACGTGCAGTGTTCCTTGTCTCAGATTCTCTAAGACATTCTCTCTTCTCTCTTTGTCCAAATCTCTGGTCTATTTCAAGGGGATTGCTCGTCTTCCTAAGTTTCTTTCGTGTCTTTCCAACGGGTGCCGCTTTGTTCGTATCTTGGTTAGTCTCCTTCGATTGGTTTGCTCCATTTCCTCAATCTCAAGTCTCTCTGGTGCAGCTTTGTATTTCTTCTCAAATTCCTTTAGTTACTTTCACACGGCGGGCGCTTGTTTCTCAAAGTCTCTAGACTCGTTCAAGCGGTTTGCTCCTCTCTGTCAAGCGTTCTAGTCTCTGTCGAGCGCTGCTCCTGTTTCTATTTTTTTTAGTTCATCTCAGGCGGCTTGCACCTCTTGGCAAAATTGTCGTGTCTCTTTCGAGCGGGTTGCTCCCATTTTTTAGGTTTTCCGAGTCCATTTCGATTGAAGCCCTTGCTTGGCTCGTCTCTCTGGAACTCTCCTCTGTGCCGGGTCGTCTGACATCTTGCGACGGGCCGGGTCTCTTTCTCGAAGGTCTGTCTCCCCTGCCCCAAGTCACGCCAAAGTCTCGAGATTTCGAGCAGGCTTCTCCTAATTATCAAGTCTCTTTCAAGCGGTTTGCATCTGCTCCTCCTTCGGTTCATTTTTCTCCTGGTGCACTCGTCTCTTCAAGCAGCTCAAGTACTACCTGTTCTCACCTGTTCAAGTCTCTCCTTCTCAAAATGTCCTTTTTGTCGAATTCTCTATGTCGAGCGCTGCTCCCGTCGCACCAATCCCCTAGTCTGTTTCGAGTGGCGTGCACCCATCAATCAAATGGACTGATGCCTTTCGAACGATGTCTTCCCATTTTGCAAATGCGCCGGTCCATTTCAACAAGCTTGCTCATGCTTCTCAAATTCCTTTTCCCTCGTTTCCTTGAAGCGGTTGCACCGATTTCTCAGATCTTCATTTGCTGGTCCCTTTGATTGATTTGCTGCTCTTTCTAAAGTTCTCCTCTTTGCTAATCACTTGAGTCTCTTTCGAGCGGTTTCTCTTCTTTCTCATGTTGCCTGGCCACTTTCGACTGGTTAGTTTGCTCCTCTTTCTGAAATTCTCCGTTGTTAATTTCTCTAATCTCTTTCCAGCGAGTTTGTTCCTGTCTATTTCCACTGCTTTGCTCATCTTTACAAAGCTTCAGGTGAAATGCCGGCATCCTTGTGCAAACGAACAAGAACCGTTCCGGGAACAAGTGCTTGAGGTATCTGTTGAGACAGGAATACCAAACACACCACCATCCAAGGGGGAAGCTTGAATCACTCAGCCCATACCATTCTATGGCAACATCACGAAGCGCTTCCGAAGTTAATCGTTCGATACAGGCTCTGCGGTCACCACTGCACTATCAATTAACTTCATCCCGTGCATCCTGTTTGTTCCTTTGCAATCCATGAAGCCGAGATGCCGCTTCCATCTGCGCCTTCGTGCGGGAATTACTAGTCAAACGAAGGCATTGGTTCGAAGGCCCGAAAAATCCCGGGAGTGACTCGCATGTCCTGCCTGGTATTGCTCTGCGAAGTCTCTCCACGTTCCTGCGTCATCCTCAGTCACAAGACAAGGCGCCATCAGCCCTAATCGGCCGCAAACCCCAAAGCCAGTTGTCGCCGGTGCAGAACAGCACAGACGAGGTGCCCATTGCCAGCGGGAGAGCTCGGCCATGGCCCTGAGAGCACCACAAGGCGCAGCTGAGAACATCGCAAGAGCGGGGGAAGCCCCGGCCGGTCGCGCCTCGTGCCGCCGCAAGGGCGGAACAAGGCCAAAGAGCCTCAGGCACCCCACCTCTAAGCCGCTTTCGAGCCGTCGACATGTTTAAGCGGCCACAAGATTTCCGATCTCTGCAAGCAGCCAGAAGGCTGACAGGAACACGCTTCTCCGTCTTGTTGGAATTAACGTACGTCCCCAATACGGAGAAATCCTTTTGCCTCGCACAACTCTTCCGACCATGAGAGCGCACCGGCAGCGTGGAAGGCCACACCTACACGCGAGTTTGCTTTGCGGCTGTACAAAAGCTCTCGACATGCTTTGGCGACCGAGAAACGCAGCAGAGCTTTTTTGTGCCAGGCAGTGCAGTCCGGGACATGCTAGCAAGTCCCAGTGCCTGTGAGCGGTGGTATGCTTCACTCAATCCAGCGCCCGAGAGAGCACGGCATGGCAGTTTCCAATCTACTGGCGCGGCTGCCGGACACAAGGACCTGCATCGCAGTTCACAGGATGGCCGTGCCCTCCAGCGCATTCGCCGCTAGAAGCTGGCAGCCCGAAAGAGGACTTGGCCTTTAGCCAGTGCAAAGGATCCATCGCATCTTCTGGTGTTCACTACCTTGCTCGCTGCCAGCACATGAACACACGAAGATGTGTACACTTCACGAATATCTTCCTTCGGAATGCTGCCGGGCAGCAGGGGTTCCCTCCGCGCCTTAGGCAGCAGGGCTTTCGGTCTGGCCAGCTGCCGCCTGGAACAACAGCAGGACTCTGCAAGTCCTTTTCCACAGGCTTGAACTGAGCTCGCCCAGTCCTAAAACCAAAAAGGAAACCACCCCAAAAAATGTTCGCGCAGCGATGCGCAGCGTCGTCGCGAATGCTTGGTATGCGCAGCCCAGACCGCACCTCCTCGGCTGTCTTCGCTGGCTCGGCACCGGCCTCTGCATTGCCGTTGGCCTCAGAGCGATCACTGTCGCAGTGCTCGCAGTGCGTCCGCTGCGCACTGCTTCCACTTCCAGGTGCCTCCTTCTGCTCCAGCAGCGGCTGTGCTTCTTCTGCCTTGGCCTCCTGACCACATCAAGCCGTCGTGGAATGTCGTGGAGTCGCGGACAGGAGTGCAACATGCAATTCAGTGCAGCGATATCTTCCGATGTTGTAGGTCCTGCGTCCCCTGGGTCTTCCTCCTGCGCTTCAGAAATACTGCACCGGCAACTGCGCCAATGAGGACCGTCAGGACAAGAACCTCGCTGCGTTAAAGCACACATGAGCTTTTGCAATGTCTTGGTGTCGGCTTGCGGGCCAGCGGCAACTAGCAGCACACCGGATCCCTTGCCCTTTCCCTTCTTCGGTCTGGCTTGCTGCTCCTTCGTGGCGACGAGGACT